ATAAATACACCCTGGACAGCCAGGAGCCCGGGGTTAATTTCCAATTAAGTGTGAAATCTGGCAGTAGCAGGATAGTGCTTCTCTCCTATCTCTCCTCCAGGACCTACCCATCCCCTCACTATGTACGTTTGAATAAAGACAATAAGCACAGTTGTGATGACAGTAGGCGTGCAAAATGTAGGAGGAAAGGAGAGTAAGGGAGTGTGGGAAAAAATTAGCTGCTCCCCAGAATAGCATAAGTGGTCCTCAGGAGGGTGAAGGTACAAAGCCACATCACCAGGAGCTCAATTGTCATAAGAAGGAGGAGCTCCTGTCAGACCTCAAGGCACAGGAATCCTTCAGACCTGACTATTGGCAACTGCACAGGGCAGAGTAACTGGGCCTGGGTTATTGGCATGAAACTCCTGCACAAGACAAGGACAAGTATGGGGAGAACAGGGCTAGGTACAGGAACAGGTTAGATAGGGTGGTGGGGCTCAGGGTGGCTACTTACAGAGCCAAGGAATACAATAGTTTCCAGCCAAGCAAATTATAATGCATTGAAGAATCCAAGAATCAGGTAGCAGATAACAGTTGGGAAGATCCTGAATGGCAAAGTGGTGATCCACCACCCCTGAATGGGTGTAGAGAAGATTCCATTCCTGGATAGCAACTGAGGCAGCTGCTACTACCACTACTATTATTACTACTTCTACTACTACTACTGGTTAATATTAATTGAGCACTTATTAAGGGCCAACCATGTTTATTTGGGTGAAGTAACTTGCCCATGGTGATTGAGGCATGAATATAGATAATGGTGTTCAAGTTCCTTCCAAGGGGGTTAGAGGCTAGGGTCTGATTGGCAGTGACTAGCAAAGAAGACACAGGGAACAACAGAGGAATTCAGTCTCTATTGGTTCCCTCTAGATCTCAGCCTCAGAAGGGAGGCAGAATTCGGAGTCTTGTAGGATGGTAGTAGGGGTAGAGAAGAGGTGAGGGACAGTTAAGACTAAGGTTGTCCATATCCCACCTACCTCACAACCCGATGACTCTGGGAACTACAGTAGGGTGGTACCTGACAGCATCATGGGATCTAGATGGGAGTAGCTGAGGAAGCAGAAGCCAGAGAAATAAATCCAGGGCTGACAATACTAGTGGAAACTCAGTTCCCACAGGCTTTCCAAGTGCTGGGAAAGAGCAGACATAGAGAAGGCCACTGCCTAGCTCCATTCTTCAGGACCAGGAAAGCCCTCTTTTGTGGTCTTAATTTCAGGCACCTTTTTTGAGCATTCTGGAGGCCTGGGTCTTCAGAAAACGGGATTCATAGAGGTTCAGAGGAAGTGATACAACTTGAACGCCCACCAAAATAGGGAGATCCCCTATTTTGGGGAGGCCCCCAAGTGGAAATACTGCTCTGGAGAGGGCATTCACGGGGCTGACCAATTTTGACCCAATCCACCTGAACTGAGAAAAGGTTGGGCACCTTCACTTTGTAGTCCATTGGCCTCATAAAATCCAGCATGTCTCTAAATTTATCAGATCCCTTCAGAAAGCTCAGCCGCGCTGACTTTGGTTACCAGAATCCCAGGACCCTGAGGGCAAGCTCAGAGGATCAAAGGTGCAAGGGATTTTGAAATCAATGTGGCCCCAATTTCTCCTCTAGGAGAATTTTCCCAGTCTGGTGAAAGCCACAGGAGATTAGTTAAGGGAATAGTCTTGGTTTGAATCCCGAACTCAACATTTCCTGGTTGTGGGAACTTGGGCAAATGATGTAACCATTCTGTGCCTCAGTTTTCTAATCTGTGAAGTGAGGCTAATGCCAGCACCTATCTCATAGGCATATTACCAGGACAAATTCAGTAAACCCGTGCAAAGCACGTAGAGACACATTTGGCATGTAGCAAATGCTAATATGTGTTAGCTCTTCTGGTCAAGTGATACAGGGAATCTATATCTCATCTTGGGCCTCTGGGGAAGCTGTTTCTGCCCCCCTCCTCCCAGATAGAATGAGACTAATTAAGGGATTAGTCACCAGCATCAAGGTGCCATCTAGGAATATCATCAGGTTCTAAAGAGCCCCACTTGCACTCCAGCTACCACTTTCTTTGGTGTGCTTACCAATTGTGTTTGTGTGTATTTGAGAGATGGGAGAAGTTGAACAACACCAGGGTTTCTAATTGTCCATTTGGTGGCATGTAAATGATCATTTTTTCTTCTCCAGGATTAAGGTGTTGACAACCATGTGTCTTTACGCTGAAAGACAGGGTTTCTGCAGGGAGCTGCTTCATGTCTGTCATAAGCAGCATTACGGCCCCCAAGAAGACCCCATGTCCTAATCTCCAGGACTGTGATTACACTGCCAAAAAGATGTTGAAGATGTCATTAAGGTTACTAATGACTTTAAAATAGGGAGACTATCCTGGATTATTGGTGTGGGCCCAATGAAATCACCCCAATGAAAAGGTGAGCCCTTATCAGCAGAGGCAAAAGAGGAAGTCAGAGAGATGGAGAAAGAGAAGTAGAAGGATTTGACATGCCATTGTTAGCTTGAAGATGGAGGGGTCCACATGTCAAAAAATAAATAGGGACCTCAGTCCTATAACAACAAGGAACTAAATTCTGCCAACAACCAGTAAGCTTGGAAGAGGATTCTGAGCCGCAGATGACAACCACATCCCTTGTGCATACTGTGAGTTTAGTGAGACTCTAAAGGAGAGAATTTGGCCACACTATGCTGAACTCCCAACCTAAAGAAACTGTGAGATAATAAATGGATGTTGCTTTAAGCTGCTAAATTTGTAGTCATTTGTTACAGTAGCAATAGAAAACTAACACAATGATCCTGGGCCTCAATTTGTACATCTGTTAAACGGGGGCAAAATACCTTGTCTTAACTACCTTATGGGGCTGTCATGAGGACAAAATGATAGAAGAAGGGACATAAGAGTGCTCTGCAGAATTTCAAGTCATTAAACTGTTAGGATATTCTCCAACAGGGGAAAAAAAGTCAATCTATTTTGAAGCAATTGGATTGAAGCAATTAAGAGCTTAGAGTGCCTGACATTTCCCAGGGGAACTGCTGAGTGTTTGGAGGGATGTTTCTCCTCTCCCAGAGAAGCAGTTTAGTATATGTGAAGTCAGAAAACCTGGGTCCAAGTCTATTTCTCACCTGTGTGACCTTGGGCAAATTATGTCACCTCTCTGAGGCTCAATAGAATGAGGGTAATTATCCCTTCTCTGCCTAGATGATATAGCTGTGTGAGGCTCAACTGAAGCAATGAGTGTGAACACATGATACAAACAAAGTACCCAAATGGAAGGCCTATTAGTCCTCCCCAGTGTGTGCCCTGCTGCTGGAAGCAGATATCTTGATTCTGGTAAACTAGCCACCCTAAGAAAGTACTCTGAGCACCTGTTTTCTGCCATTGGCTCTGGTGTGTGGCCTTAGACAAGCCCCTTCTCCTCTGTTTCTCCATTTTAAGAGGTCAGATTATAACCAGTTGTCTTCCTCTAATGGGCATCAGAATAACCTTGGAAGATGAGTGGCAGATAGGGGATGAACAGGAGTTTTCTCATTTTTACAAGCCTGTCCAACCTCCAATAAACTATCTCCCAAAAGCCCAAGTCAGAAGAGTTCATTTTATTAAATCATGCCAAGTAAGCCCTATTCAAGATATAGGAGTTGATTCCAAATTATGTGGTTTGAGCAGCTGGTTGTCAAAACAGTCTGGATGTCTTGTTATACTTCAATTAAAATACTGGCCAATTTCAATCTGATTAACTAAAGTCATGCCCCTTCCAGTTTCTTGCAGTTCCCATTAATGTTGCTTTGTCATGACTGTGAGATTTCCTCCCAGAATATTCCTTCTTATGTGAACTGAAGTTGCTAAACTATGGCCAGACAAAACCCAGTAGAGTTGTCCATGTTTTCATTACAACGTAGGCTGTAGTAAAACCAATAGCTGAGAATAACAGAATGTCAAAGCTGAAAAGGCCCTTTGAGACAACCTGGTTTGGAGACAATTTGAGGCCTAGAGAGGGGGAGGGACATGCTCAGTATCACAGAGGCAGTGACAGAGGTGAATCTGGATCCTCAGGGCTCCTGAAAGGAGATCTTTCCATTGTCCTATGTTGCCTTTCCACTGCCCCATACTGCCTTTGATGCACAGAGATTTGAAAGTCAAGTAACTTTCAGTCTTCTTATTCGCTAGGCTGGTTTCACTATTCTTTGAAGTAGAGAAACCTCATATATATGTCATCAAAGTACAAGGCTATGTACAGAGCAGTGTAAGAAGCAGGAAGCTATGGACACAATCTTTGAGAACACTCCCAACATACCAGATTGGCCTTATCCACCATTTTTGGTCTTTGCCTCATCAAGAGGTCTCCTTCCTCAACCTGCTTTATTGTCTCAAATGCTTTATATCAGTGCTTCTCAAACTTTAATGCGCATAGAGATCTTCTGGAGATCTTATTAAAATACAGACTCTGACTTCAGATGTCTGGGATAGGGCCCAAGAAGCTGCATTTCTAACAAGCTCTCAGGTAATGCAGATGCTGAAGCTGATAATGGACCACATTTGAAGTAGTTAGACTTGTAGATGTTGTTTCCATCAGTCTCATTTCTAAGCATCTTCTCCATTAACCAGCAGGATTCCTTTACTACTTGGGGGTAGTGTAGTGTATTAGAAAATGAATAGGCCTCCATAGCTTCCAGTACTGGATTTTTATCAATCCCTAGCTGTGTGATTTTGGGCAAATCATTTCTCATCTCCCTGAGCCTCAAGTTTCTTTATCTATAAAATGAGGCCATCACCTATCATGCAGTAATGTTGTGAGGCTTGAGGGAATGACAAGCTCTTGGTGCAAAGTAGATTGAGATTCCTAGGTACAAAAAGGTTCTATGCCTAGGTTTACTTAGAATTGCAGAAGGCAATGTGAGAAGTGCATGGTGGCTGCACCATCATGCTTAATATGCTCAAAGATTGTTTCCATGACAAAACCACAGATGACAGCCATTAATACTAGACGGTCTGCATACTTTATTGCAAATCACATGACCGGGCCCCAGAATCTGATACTTTTTTTTGATATTACATATGTATTTCATGTAGGCAGTCTTTCCAGCATCTATTTATGTCCTTGGTATCAAGTGCTTCTTTTCCTTATGAAAATGAAAGCTTTTCTTCATCAACAACATCTCTTCAAGGCATCTTGATTCTCTCTGCAATTTTTAAATGTTTCTGAAGCTTTTTCTAAGCTTGTAATGTGTGAAGGCCATTTATCTGCAGCTACATTAAAAATAGTATCATTGATTTACATTCTCTCAAAAGCAATTTTTTTCTAGTCATAGAAACAGTTCTTTTTCTACTACTTTATTAGTTCTAGTTATTACAGAATCAAGGAACTTCTTGAAAAGGGAAGGATACTTCCCCACGACAGCCAATTATTTTAGAAATACTCTACATAATGCTTTTTTATTATTGATGTTGGATGCTGAGTTTCACCCCTTAGTGGCTGGACAACTCCTCCTACCTTTTTTTAAACAAAAACTTCAATAATATTTCTTATTCTAAATCATCTCTTAACTTTTGCAATCACCACAGAACAACTTCATAGGGATTTTACCTCAAGGTATCAAGCACTACAGAGGCAAGTAGACCTTTTCTGCTTCTCAAACTGCATGTGTGAATATCGCCAGTTTCTTGGGCTGAAACTGCACATGCTACAACCTTGGTGAAGTACACAGACACATACAAGGACCTTTTTATCTTTGAGAAACAGCTAAGCCAAGGACTTAACAACCACCAAGTAAAAAATCAATCCTTCATTTCACAACGTAAAATTAAATGATCTTTTTAAAAACATTACCAAATGGGTACACTGAAGGTGAGGAGAAAACTCAACTCAGAAATCTCTCCCAGCCCAGTTTTTGTTCTCCTGTAAACTGGACCTGCATCCTCATCCTTCTCCTCAAATGCTTGCCTTTTAATATTTTGTTACACAGGCAAGAGTCACAGTCATGCTAGCTCCAGTAATGTGGCCTCTGTGTGGCAGAGGGAAAACAGCATGGGGTGCAAAGTCAGAGAGGTCTGGATTTGAATCACAGTTCTGTTATTTACTTTCTGTGTGACCTTGAGTCAGTTTCCTTAGCCCCCTAGGCCATAAATCCTTTATCTGTAAAATGAGGAGAATAGCATCTACCTGAATGATTGTTTTAAGGACTAAATGAAATAATGTATATGAAGCACCTAGCATTTAGTAGAGGCTTAATAAATGTTATTACAGTCAGTTCAAGATTTACAATTCATCCATTACCAATTTCTCTAACCTGCTGATAATTTCCTATAGTTGCCACTCTTCAATTATCACCCCTTGCCATAGCTTCTTCTGAATGACTATTCATCCATCTAGCCTGGGTCAAGCCAGTCTAATTCCATAACAGTGTTCATCACCACAGAAGCTTTTGCTCTTTAAATCAGAGTGTGAAAGGGGAGGCACTGAGGTTCATTCTTTGGCATTCTTTGGGTATAGCCCAGAGCTAGCCAGCCACTGCTTCCTGGTCTCCAGCCAGACTGGTAGTCCCAACTCTCTAGGCCAGGCTCTTGGTCTGTGTCCCAGGAAACACAAGGCAAACTCATGGCCACATTTGTGGGACACCTATCTCACCAGCATCAAGTGGCTTTCTCTGGTTCTCGATAATCTTTCAATATTTGTAGTGATGGTTGTGGTATTTCCCTCCAAGAAATCCAGAGTGAAACCATGTCTCTGCCATCTTCAAAGGTACTGAAGCCCCATTGGCCACTGCTTCTGTGCCCAAAATCTGCACACCTTCTTGCTTTAGTTAGTCATCTCATGGGACAGAGCAGAGAGGCCACAGCTCTGAGACCATGGCTCAATGAGCACTTCCTGGGTGAAGCCAGGAGGGCCTCACAGAGATTCCCTTTGGGCCTCAGCAGCAGGTAGAATGGTGGCCACTTGGCTCTCTTGCTCCTGGTTTCTTGGCAACTTTGCCTTTGAGACTGAGTAGAGCTGAGAGAGTTCAATGAGGCCAGCTGGGCATGTCTTGATTGAGAATGGCATCAAGTTTCCACTCAATTACTTACACAAGGCTCTCAGTGTGTTTAGCCTACATGTTACTAACTCACTAATAAACCATGTTTAGAGTTCAGTCTTGAAAGTGACTACTGCCTTTCAGTGACACTATCCCAAAGGCATCTCAGAGTTGGTTTTCGCATGTGTGCATTCTCTCTCTTTCTTTATCTTTCCCTTCTTCCATCTCCCCCTCCATCTCCCTCATCTCCCCCCTCTATGTCTACACTTCTCTCAGGGCTATAGTCAGTGCACTAGCAGGGCCTTGCTAGAAGGGTCCAAGTAGGAAAGCCCTCTTTCTCACACTGGGCCATATTATAATTACACAGACCCTAAAGACAGGCTATGGCCCAGGCTTCTGCATGGGAACACAAGCAATGACACCTTCTCTAGCAGCTTCCCTTCAACAAACAAGAATCAGAAATGTCTACTCAGATTTCTGACTCACTACACCCATTGTGTTGTAGTTTCTTTCCAATGATTGAGACAGCAAATGAGGAAAACCAGGAGTTGATGTCTGGAAATTTTCCATTTGGTGGCAAATATGTGAGACTCAAGAAAGAGGGCAAAAGCAAAACTCCCAAAATGATGACCACCAGAGCCACCAATTATAAGTCCCCTTGCTAGATAAGTGTAGTATAATGGAAAGAACCTTGTGTAGGAGCCCAGGGACCTGAGATCTTATCTTGTTCAGGCATGGTCGCTAACTTGTTCTGCCGCAGTTTCCCCAATGGTAAACTAGGGTGTTAGACTAAGTTATTCTGAAAGGCCCTTCCAATCACATACTTTATGGGTTATAAAAAGAGGTTTTTATCTTGAAGACTGTGGTTCTTCACCTTTATTGGGTCATAGGCCCGTTTGAAATTCAGTAGAATGTTATGGACCATCTCCCCAGAAAAGGCACATTGTTGTGGAATTCTGCATACCATTTCAGAGGCTTCATGAAGTTCCTGAATCCCTGGACACTGGGTTAAGAACTGCTGCTTTCAGGAGATAAAAGAGCTTATCTGTAGAAGGCAAGCATGATGCAACAGTGACATCTGCCTGGCCTCAATCCATCTTAACAATTTTTCCCAGCATTTGACCCAAAAATGGAACTCCTACAGGACAAAAACAGTCTGCCTTTATAAAAGAACTGTTTTCAGCTTTTGTTTCTCTCTTGACTGCTTGGAAAGGAAGCTGTCAGGAGAAAGCAGAAAGAAGAGTAATTCAAACAGACCTAGGCTTTGGCATGCCAAACATGCTTTGCAGATTTGTCCTAAGTGGCTGTATGCAAGAGCAGGAAGACCATCTTCCTGATCCACCTGGAGGGGTTGTGCAGTCATCAGCCATTCTGTCTGTTCCCACAGGAGCAGACAGGTTCTTGGCAATACGTTGTAGTGCCAGAGCTCCGACCTGGGACCAGGGTCCATATTCCCAGTAAGAGACATGTTAAGATTCTCCAACGTTCAGCAAATGTTCCTACTCCCCTGCTTCCAGAATAAACAATAGCCCCAACTCCAGTAGCTTTTAGTGCAGGGTATGACCTCTGAGATCAGTCTTCAGCCCCAAATCTTTCAGAGTTCGATGGTCTTTTGAGGAGGCAGGAAGTTCAGAGAAGAGTTGAAAACTGAGCTCCCTTCTTCAACTCAGGTCAATGGATAGCCTGGTTTCTGCAGTCTGGCTTGAGGGAGTTCAGCCATTCACAGTCTTACAGGAGCTGAGGGAATGAAGACAGAATACAAAGGAAATATAAACCTGTGTCTGGGACATGCGCCCCTTATTTTATAGCATCCCAGAGCCTCAAGGTTCAGGGCCAGGAAGCTGCAGCTCTTCAGCACAAAATGACTCAGCACACAAAGGTTTGAGGAAGACCCTTTCAGAACCTGCAAAGGGTCTTCTGAGGCCAAGGCTTTTAAAACCTGAAAGAGAAAGAAGACAGTAGGTAATTAGCTAGGGCTGGTCAAGCCCTTAACAGCCACTGAGGAGTTGGGCCCTCTCTTAGTAGGTAGCTAACCAAACAATTGATAGCTAATTTTCTTTTTTTTTTTTTTTGAGGAAGATTAGACCTGAGCTAACTACTGCCAATCCTCCTCTTTTTGCTGAGGAAGACTGGCCCTAAGCTAACATCCATGCCCATCTTCCCCTACTTTATACGTGGGATGCCTACCACAGCATGGCTTTTGCCAAGCGGTGCCATGTCTGCACCTGGGATCCGAACCTGTGAACCCCGGGCCGCCAAGAAGAGGAACGTGTGAACTTAACTGCTGTGCCACCGGGCTGGCCCCGATAGCTAATTTTCTGAGCAACTGGGGCTGGCTAGGAAAAGCCCCTTACAACTCAGATCCCATGACACAGTCATAAGATAGTGCTACAATCAGGGATGGAAACTGCATGCCTTTGGCCTTAATTCTAATACCAAAAAAGTCTACAGAGGATGCAGAAACTTGATCTCTGAGATTACCCCCCTCAAGCATGGCTACTGCTTTTATGGCCCTACAATAACTCCAAACTTCCTGTTACTGAGACTTCACCTCCATACTGGCTGATAAGGAAAAGCTTATCCACCCATGGACCTCTGAGGACTGGCAGTGATAGGAAGAAAAGGAAGGCTGTGGAGCACATGGAAAACTCTGCTCCAGATACTTGGATCTCATTTATGTGTATATTGGTTCATGTCATGCCAGCAACCTGATAGTCAAACAAGCAGAACTCCTAGGTGGAGAAAGAAATTTCCATGATCTCCATGACTCTTGTGACCATAGCAAGTTACTTATTATCTCCTCTGGACCTCAGTTCCTTTATTTGTTGAGTTAAAATACATATTATCCTCCCAATTTCTGGCATTTGATATGGATCAAATAAGGTGATGGATGTGAAAGTGCTTTGCCTTAGACAAATATAAAGGACAAAGGATGAAGGTTTAAGGGGGTAAGACTGAAATAGTGATTTAGTCTGAAGGAATAAAGTCCATTTACAGATACTAAAGTGGACTCTTGGTACCTGCTATAATACCAAAAGAGAGGTTATTGATCTTCTTTTAGACCCAAAGGATATCAGAGTTAGATGGTACCAAACTTTTCGTTTTACAGATTGGAAAATTGAGGCTCAGAGAAGGAAATGCACTTGCCCAAAATGTCACAACCTAGGATTCCTAATGAACTGGATTCAAAGGCAATTTGTAAAACTACACTGTAGTTTGGCTGGGAGAGAAAGAAAAGAAAGAGGAAGGAGACTTAAAAATACAGAGACCATCAGAATTGGAAGGCAGTAAGTTTAAGGGTCATGTAATTATAGGGTAATGAACTGAGGCATGGAGATGAGTTCCCACTCTCTGGATGTACATGGTATTCCAGTCCTCAAAAACTCAGATTCCATAAAGAAGGCTTATGTTTAACAAGGTTCTGTACTCAGGATTGGAGACTACATACCTGAGGCCTCAACTCTCATCTCCAGGAAGTCTTCCTTGAGAACTGTGGGTAAAGGAGGAAAGACATTTCACTAAGACTCTAGAAATTAGAACTGAGAAGGCAAAGCAATGGGATGGGTGACCCTTCCAGACTAGTGCCAAAGAGGCCGTATGAAACATGGGGAAGTGATTCAATCTAGACGTTTCAAAGCATCTAGTTCGATGCTTGTAGGTTGGACTACCCCTCTGGCAGATTTAGAGAGCCCAGTCTTTCAGGTGACAGAACAATCTTTTGAGTGCCTTATATGGGAGGCTATGATAGTCCAGAGAAATTGGCCGAAGACCAAATACTACGTTCTGTGATTATCATTAACAGGGAGAAGGGAAAGAAGGAGGGAAAATCCCATGTGAAACATGAATCCTCCTTTGCTTTGAAGACAACCAGCCTTGACCAGCCACTTGATGTGCTTAGATTAGTCCCAAATCAGCCTTGTCTGGGGACAGCTGGAGGGAAGAGACAATCCTGGAGTATCGAGCCTCATATAGTGTGGCCAGAACCTCCCAGACAACAGGTGGTCCCAGAGCTATATCCTCAGCATTGTTTTCTCTTCTCTCTTAAATCTATTTACACATACTCCCTGAGTGATCTTATTCCCATCCATGGTTTCAATCACCACCAAGTACTGAAGACCCCCTGAAGGGCTACATTGTAGTATATGTGAATGCCCCTCCCTTCTCTTCTTCTTCTTCATCTTCTTCTTTTTTGAGGAAGATTGGCCCTGAGCTAACATCTGTGCCCATCTTCTTCTACTTTATATGTGGGATGCCTGCCACAGCATGGCTTGATAAGCAGTGTGTAGGTCCATGTCCAGGATCTGAACCAGTGAACCCCGGGCCGCTGAAGTGGAGCGCATGAACTCAACCGCTATGCCACTGGGCCAGCCCCCTTTCCTTCTCGTCTTGATGAACCACTTCTCATTTTCTTTTGAGTTTTTGATTTTTTTAATTGATGTGGAAGGGAGATGAATGAGGGAATAAGGTCATTCAAATGTCAGGCTATAGTCAGGTGTGCAAATGGGAAGCAAAAAGTTTATACAGATCATCATTTTCATTAGATACGAGAGAAGAGGTTGGCAAAAATGTTCATAGATGGGATTGACTGTGGCTAGTCCGAGGATCTTGACTAGTGGCCAACATATAAATGCACTGATGAAGTGGTGGTTACAAGGTGGGGGCCTAGATAGAAGGGGTGGTTGCCCTATGTGGATGCTGAGTGAGAGGAGCCTGTGGGTACCTAGGATGGCATCTCATGACATACTGGAGGACAGGTGTACCCATCTTGGTCTTACCCATACTCCTGCCAAGATGGAATCTGGGGATAAGGAACAGGATCAAATCTAGGTTCCAGAGGCCTGGAGATAGGGTAGGTAGAATGGTGCTCCAGCCTGAAGTGCCTGCTTGGGCCACAGCACCCTCATGTTGTGGTTGGTCCAAGATTTCCCTGAGTACTAGCTGACAAAGCCCAGATAGTGGTTACCAATCTTTCCCTGCTCTCAACACCAGTTTGGCTATAGTTTCCCTTATTGAAAGTTAGCCTGCCTTAAAGGTTCTACTGGACTTTGTTCATGCCTCTTAGACATTCCCTTTCAATGTCTTGGTTCCCCATCCAAGGCTACAGGTCAATACCTCATATTTTTCGGTGTATTTCCACTCATCTTGCAAGCCCTGGCTCAGACATCACATCCTTGAAAAAAAGCTTTCCTTTAGATACACCCAGTTCATTCTGTTAATTCTAGTTTACCTCATTCTATTTCCTTGGCACTTATTTCTCATATGGCTTATCCTAGGGAAGGAGCACCAGAAAGCAGGAAGTAGTCCTACTCATAGGTAGGTACTTCATTAAAAGTATTAAGGTGTCTCTGTTTTTCTCTCTTTTTCTGTTTTTCGTTTTTTTCCTCAAGGTAGATATATGATTAAGTCTGCTTTAAAATGTCCTAGGTGAAAACTTCATTCTATCAGTAAGACAAATTTGGGGCCTTGATCTCCCTTTTATCTGTTATGGTAAAATAAATGGCAAATTATTGTCTAAGGTGAATTTGGCTTGACCTAAGGTTCCCTTTGGCTGACTGCCAAGCAGAACTAGGGTGTGTTGTTGTGCAGAATCATGTCCTGGTGAGTCAGGTCCCATAGTTTTGACTAGATGATGTCAAACCTACTCCAGTTCCACTGCTGGTAAAGGCACATTGTTCTGCTTTTAACTGATCAGCTAGAAGAGTTACATTCCTGTCACTCATCAGGAAGTACAATTTGAAATTCTCTGAAAAGCAACAAGGAGCAAACTCAAAGAAGAGTCCCTAAAGGCTAAGCAACAATTTCTCTAGGTGTTCCACTCTAAAAGGCCCAAAGTACCAGGCCTTGGACAGTCTGTCTGTACCAGCACCTGAGGAATTTTTAAAATAAACTAACTGGAAGGAAGGAAGGAAGGAAATAAAACAACAACAACAAACAGACTTCAAGGCCCTACTCCTGGAGATTCTGTTTTAGTGGGTCTAGAGTAGAAGGCATGAATCTGTGTGTTTTTTTTTCCCCTCAAACTTTTCCAGGTGATTTATACGTGCAGCCAGTTTGAGAACAACCACCTAAGTCTAATGTTTACCTCAGAAATGAAGGCTATGCTTATTCTAAGGTTATTTATGTCAGAGTGTTGCATTCTATATATTCCTGTCAGCTTCCCTTTTGGAATATAATAGGATCTAAATAAGTAAACTAACAAAAAGTAAGTCCTACATTGAGTGTAAAGTTTTTGCAATACTACTTGGTATGTGAGTACTGTATGTGTGTGTGTGTGTGTGTGTGTGAGAGAGAGAGAGAGAGAGACAGAGAGGAGCAGAGAGAGAAAGAGATGGAAAAACAGTCAGAGAGGCAAAAAGACAACACATACAGAGATAGACAAAGAAAGAAAGATGTGAGGAAAGCGAAACAGAAAAAGAGTGAAACAAAGAGATAGGGAAACAGAAACAGAAGCATAAGTAGAAAAACACAAAGAGACAGAAGGAAACTAAGAATAACAGAGACACAGAGAAAGAAACAAGAGTGTGAGGGAGACAAATAGAGTGACAAAGACAGAGAGACACAGGTAAAAAGACAAAGACACAGGGTGAGGGACAGAGACAGAGATGGAGGAGAGAAAAGGACAAACAGAGAGACAGAGACAGAGTTACAGAGAAACAGAAGAAGAGACTGTAGGAGAAAAAATGAGATATTCATGACACATTTTCTAAAAGGTGATTTGGTTTCTCCCCTGTCACCTCTGTCTCTTACCTTCCTGTTTTCCGGGAAGCTGTTTCAAAGAACCTGGTCCTGGAAGCCACCCTGCAAACAGAAGCCAACAAGTCTTATGAGTTGCTCTGGAATATGTGTGAGAACCAATGGCCAATGGAAAGGACAAGAGAATATGAATCAGATGGGCGACCAATGCCAGGCCCTGCCTTAGCTTGCAAAAGATCTGCGTCTGAGGAGAAACCAAAGTATCAGAATGTGAAGTGGCTTAGAGATTATAGGTCCCCTAAAGGCTATAGCTAATACCCTTTGCTCTCTGTTAGTTCAGAATGGTCTGAGTATGTTGCCCAATTCAGGCTATTCCTGGGAGAAATACGTGAAACAAGTCCTTGGTTTCAAAGTATAGTTTTTGGCATTTTGGAAACACACTTAGTTAATTATTCAAAATGGTGGAGGCTTTGTTTTTCTTAGTTTACCCATTTTACAATTATGGAAAACAAGAGGCCTAAGAGAAAGAAACACTAGGTGGCAGTTTACTGAGAGAGGTCCCAGGCACTGTCTGAGGAGAGGCCAGCCAAGCTAGTTGCGGCCAAGCAAGGCTGGTCCCTGAGTGATGCTGTGGCCCCACCTTAGCCGCCTTAGTCTTGGTTTCTTGGCTTGCAGCTCAGCTTCAGGAGGACCTGCTGGACATCAGCTCAGCTCCTACCCTGGATGAGGCTCTCTGGAGAATCTGACTCATTTTAGATTTTTAAAAATCATACCTTTGCTTTTAAAAAAGAGCCTCAAGGCACAAGTACAATGAACAAATCTGTTCATTAAATTACTTTTAAAACCAGTAGCAATAAGAAGAAAATAAGAAAAAATTTCCAGAGTCAAGGGAACAAGGAAACAGAAGGTAATCTTATCACCCTACAGAGATCAGGGCAACTAGGAAAGATGGATCTCCTATCAGGCACTAAGGTTCAAACTCTTCAGCTTTAGGAAATCTCTTAGTGTTGAGTGGAACACTCCAAACAGGGCTGGTCTGTGACATTCCCCTAGACTACGAAGTGAATGAGGTCCCAAGTTGTGCATTGTACACTCTTAACAACCATGATGGTGATCCTGAAAGCATTCCTGGTAACTTAAAATAGGCCTTAGGTCAAGGTTGAGGAAAAACGCTACTTACACAGATGATGGGATTTCCCCTGCATTGCCAGCCACAATGTCTGGCTTTGGTTCTGGCTTCTGAGGAGCAGCTACCCGGCAGGGAGGGTCTGGAGGCCTCACTGGGGGACGGATGATGGTTGGCTTGTCTCCTGGAGGCCGCACCTTGCTGAAACTATCAGAGTCTCCTAGAAGAAAGAACACCACCAAGAACTTGGATGGTTAGCCAGTGGAACACTACTCAGGAGCAGGCAGTCAATATCAGAGTTACCTGGGCCACCTGCCTTGGCCCCCATTTCCTTTTGGTGACTAACAACTCTGTATTTTTTTTTTGTAATTCTTCCAACAGTTGCCCCTTCAGAAAGTCTATGTTTGAACCCCAGCTCTGGAACTTCATATTTGTGTGACCCAGGGTATGTCACATCAATTCGCTGCGTCTCAGTTTCCTCATCTACATAATCAAGACCAATAATACATTATCTTAAAGAGATATTGAGGGGACTTAATCAGGTACTAATATGTTTAGTACAGAGCCTGGCACATAGTAGGTGCTTAGTTAATGTTTGATGATGAATTCGAATTTGTTAAATTCGTCATTACCAAAACTCAGGCACTCTTGCACCTAGGCCTTGACTATCATAGCAGTCTGCTAACTCGTCTTCCAGTCTCTATGTTCTAGTTTCTAGGTTAGTCAGTACAAAATAAATATATATAATTTTTTATAAAATGGTTCTGGCAGGAGTATGGTGAAAGAGATGCATTTATACATTGCTGATGGCACTGTACACTGGGCTTATTCTATCTAGATAGCCATAAAAAATTCTGGAACAATGTGGATTAAATGCAAAATCATACATATGAGGTAGTCCATACTCATTGACCCAGTTGACATATTTTATGGAACAAGCCCAAAGGAATTAACCCAAAAGAAAAAATAAAAACAATTGGCACAAAAACATGCTTGTTAACAACAATAAGCTAGACCCAACCACAAAGGCTAAGCAAACGATTAAATTCTTACAAGCATTTAACCAATACATATTACATATGAACTGACAAGGATTTGGGCCAGGTCAAAAAAATGTGTATATAAAATAATGTTAAGTGAAAAAAAGTACACCAAAAGTGCTCATGGCCTGATGAATACCATATGAAAACAGACATATGTGCAACTATGCAAGGGTGTTCTAAGATCTTAATATTCATGCAATTTTTGTTAGAAAATCTTGATATTCATTAAGTTTTCTTCTACAAAAATTTTTAAGGTAAGTGTAAAAAATATTAACTTTAATCCATATAACACTGTTGTGAGATTTACCCTAAGTATCTTTACACTGTTTTTCTTCTCCTTAAAGATCTTCCCAGCAGCTATAGAATGTACAGGATAAGGTTCAAACTCCTTAACATAAATTGAAGGCCCTCTATGAGCTGGTCCCAAATTATCATCCCAGGCACTAACTCCAGACTTTAACCACCAGTTCTACTCTAATCAAATTGGTCTCCTCACTGCCCTATCAAAGCAAGCCCTTGACTCTTACTTCTAGGTGAGACAGTATGGTATAGTGGAAAGTACAGAGAGTCTGTAGTTGGGTAGAACTGGTTTTGAGGCCTTGTTCGCCACTTCCAAGCTGTGGGACCCTGGGCAGTTATTTCATCTCTTTGACTCAGAATTTCTTCATCTTTGCAATGGGTATAATAATCTTTCTTCACAGGTAGTTGTGAGGACTAAATTAGATGGCCTATAGAGAGTGTCTAGCATACAGCAAGAGTAAATATGTGCTAGACTCTGTCCTGCTTCTTGCCTGATATATGCCCCTGTCCTCATGTCTTATCTGTATTGTAATCATCTCTCAACACTCAGCTCAAATCTCACCCATCTGAACACTCCAGCTGGCACAGGTAATTTCCATCCATGTAAATACTCGTGAAGTGCTTACATATTGCTGTGTGGGTTTTTAAAATTCCTTCTGCTAGTCATTCTGGTGAGGGAGACAGATATGAAAAGAGATAATGTTAATACAGTGTGATTGGTGTTCTAATAGAGGAATGAACCAAGTACTATTCACGTACACACATATAAATTCTGTCTCCCCCTCTAGACTATATCTTACATTTCTGGACATGCCATTCCCCTTAGCACAAGGCTGGGGACACAAAATTGCACCTGAAAAATGACCAAAATTATAATAATATGATTTTTCTAATGTACTTTATACCATTCAAAACACTCTCTCAGATAACTATTTCACTTTCACAATAAGCTTGGGCAGGAAGAATAGATGGGGCTTATCTTCTCCATTTTACATAGAAGGAAACTGATGTTCAGAAAAGTGAACTGACTCACCCACAACCACATAGTTAGGTAAGTGGTAGAGTGAGGATTGAAACCCATATCTCCTATTTCTGCATCCACTGTTTTCCCCACTGTCTGCTGTTTTATTGTCATTAGTAGTAATATAAAAAACTATAAATGATAATAATAATGGTAATGGTAACAAAGGAATTGGTAAGAAATTTCAGCTACCTTTTTATTGAACACCTGCACTGTTCCAGGTACTGTGATACTATACTCAGTAGTTTATGCATGTCTTATTTAACATTGGCTATAACCCTGTAAGGTAGAAAGTATTATCCCTGTTCTATAGTTGAGGAAACAGATGCAGAGATGAGAAGCAACCTTATAGTTAACTGGCAATAGATTCAGGTCCATCTGCTTTCTGAAGCCCATGTAGTCCCAAGTGCCAGTGGTTTTCAACCCTGGGTACACATTGGGAACATTAAAATCATACAGAATCTGGGCCCCACCCCCATAGATCCTAGTTTAATTGATTGGGGTAGTACCTGGGTATGGGTATCTTTAAAAGCTTCCGAGGTGATGCTATGTGTAGCTAGAGTTGAGAACCACTAGGCCACATGATGCTGCTTGCTCACTGCACATCACAAATTACCAGAGCTGACAATGCTGTTCCATTTCTACTGATTACTGGAGGGAATATTGGACAGGAAGCATATGCTACAGTCAGAGCCCTAACACATTTCCACCTGATGCCATATCCATCCTAGGGCTATCACTTCCCTTGATGAGAAAACTAGATGATACTCCCTGAAATATGAACCCCATTCGTTCCCAAGTCACAGCCACATCCAGATGGATATCAACCCATGGCCTTGGAAAACAAATGTCATTAACCTTGTGCCCTCCTAGGCTCTTTATCAGGAGCTCCAACAGGATGACGCCATACAAGTCAAACTTTGAAGTAGCAGCAAAGGGCTTTCGTGATTGAAAGACCCCAGTGTTGTTCTCTCCTGCCTCTAATTTGCCATAGTAAAGCCGCAATGTCAAACTGAGGAGGCAGGGATGAAAGAGTAATATAAGTGGGAGTTAAGAGACCTAGATTAAAGTCTTTATACTAAAACTAACTTGCTGTGTGACCTTGATCAGATCACTTCCCTACCTGTACAATGTAGACTTTGACTGTTTCCCAGATCACTGCATCCCTGATATAAGTCTATAGACCTATATCTCTTCCTAGTGACTTTACATGCTGCTTTTGACTCTAGAAGCCAGTTGAATGGTATCATATACTTAAGGAGCTTGGAAAAGATCTCAAGATAGATAGATAGATAGGTAGATAGATAGATGATAGATAGATTTAGATTTAGATTTCATAGCTCCCTGTTGCTTGCAAAATAAACTCAAACATTTTTAATCTGGAATTCACTACCCTCTACCATTTGGCTTCAAATGGTCTTTCTGATCTACCTTTCCACCCTTCCTCTCTTCACATATCCTACAGTCCAAACAACCAGTAGTATTTGTTGTTCCCTGTACATGTCTTATGATGAATCATGTCTTTCCCAGACGCTCTTTACCCTATTCCCACATGCCTAAATTGGCATCATCTATCAAGACTCAGCTTAAGTGCCATATCTATTAGGAAGCCTAAGATGCTCCAAGTTCTTTTCTCTACTCTTAAGGCATTAATCATCTTGTACTTTGAATCAGGGCTCTTTGTTTTGGTGGCTCTATCTCCCCTATTAGAATAGGAACAACGTGAGAGCAAGATCCAGGTGGGATCCATCTTTGTATTCACCAGAGGCCCAATTAATTGGCTTTGCATGTAAATGGTATTCAATAAATATTTATTGAGTAAAGAAAAATGTAGTTCAGTCCATTAGAAGCACAACGGAAAAAAGTTCTCCCTTTTTAAGTCCCCAGTTGTGCCATGTGTGACACACAAACATGATATACCCAAATTTCAGGGCTATTCTGAAACCTAATTGAAAGGAGTTCAATATACCAGGTATTTTTTGAGAGCTTTTGTGCCTAGCCTTATGCTCTCACAAGAAATGCACACAGATGATCTGACATAGACTTCATCCTCCAGAGGCTTAAAACGAGTTGGAGAATGATGTCATACTCATGGGAAATAAATGTGAATACTGTAACTTAGCATTCACATTAGAGGGCCAAATGTGGGTGCCAAAAGAAGTGAGGTAAGGGAGAGTTCCCTGGGGCAGGATTGTCAGAAGGCGTCGTGGAGGGGATAGGACGTGAGCTGGACCCTGAGGGATGGCTAAGAATACTCCCTTGTGCCATCCCCTCAACAATGGTCCTCCTCTTTCTGGGTGTTTGGCATGGTCAGGTACAGGTTGAGGATGGAAAAAGTAGCTCTGAGCGTTTTTATGACATCTACATTTGAGGCTTAAGGATTCTCATAGGCTCAAAAATATAGAAGAGTAGACACCTATCATCCTCCACGCCTGCCATTTACTAAGAGGTTGTTACCCACCCAGTAGCACTATCACTTTTTGAACTTCCATTATATTACTAGAAGCTTTGTACACCTAATCTTACTTGATCCCCACAAAAAAAATTGCCTGCAACATAGGCATCGTCCCCACTGAAAGTTAATAAAACTGGCTCAAAAAAGTGAAATCTACCTAACTAAGACCATATGGCTAGTAATTAGCCTCCTATAAAGCAAAACAACTGCTACCATTCACTGAGTATTCATTAACTGCCAAGTACATAGATATCTTATTTCATTATTACAGTGATCCTAATAGGGCACAATTATTATCTTCATTTTACACTAAACTAAACTACATTTTACCCTAAAAATAAAGCTCAAAGAGCTTGTGGTTTGCCCAAGTTCTCACAGCTAGGATGAGGCAAAACCAAGAT